TATAAGTGGTTTGGGCAAGAGTTCCTTTTGTATCCCCCATCCCTAACCCTATTACTAACACTCCCTGTTACATGTATCCAATTCATTTGTATATGCCCCCTCTAGATAACTATAGATGTCCTTAGAAGGGGCATGTACAATTAAATGGGGAGTGCTGGAGGGTAGGAGTAGGGTTAGGGATGAGGGGTACAAAAGGAACTCTTTCCGTGGTTTGCAGCTATTGTGTTATTTCAGTAATTGGTTAATTGCAAAACATTATGAGTGAATTTTGTCTGCCATGGGGTGATCATGAAACCATATAGTTTTCTGATCACCCCACAACAAACGAAATAATCTTACTACAGCGAAACTATAGTCACTAATAGGATTGTATGGGATTGTGTGCAAGTTTTGTTTACATGTACTACCCCTGTCAAACCATAGGCTTTAGGGTGTCACGGGGGGGGGGGGGGGGTGATACTCGTGGTGTTACAGCCAAATGTGAGGATTTCTTTTGTTTTAGCATAACAATGAGCCATTTCCATGTACACGTAATTTTACTTTCATATTTCAATAATTCATACAAATACCCACGTTATGTGATTTCAATAAAGCATGTCATATTTTACTGTAAATATTTGTTTCTTTTTTGCAAAAATCTTACCTTCACGAGCCAGACTCCTCTTGCAGCATTGCTAGTATCAAGTTCATTCGTATTCTTCTCTGCCATGGTTGCTATAACAACACAAATTGCTGCATGGAGGATGTGCAAATCCGAGTACAAGTAAAGCAGATGATGATGAGGATACCAACACAAAACAAAACCGGAAGTTAAGTCTCACCTTTCACCTTTGACACAGCTTTCTGCGCATGCGATTCAAAGATGGCGGGAAAATTACACTGCTTCCTGAAAATAACAGGTTTGTGTAGAAGTTCATAATTTCTATTCTTGTTATCGATTTCCATCACTGATAGACGATTGTCTATTATTTTTTTCAATCATCGGTACATTTAGTACAATGTTGTCTCCTTGGTTGTCATCTTGTCGGTACCAGACAACAACAAACAACTTCGAAAGTGTTACCCATGACTCCATCTATCTTGATAACTTTTGTACACTTTCTATTTTAGCCACGTGAAGCGTACACTATGCATGCGTTTTTGAAGGGTGGTGGATCAAAGTTAAAGGAAAAAGTTGACAAAGAAGGCAAGTCTGGTCCTAGTGGCAGTGGAGGGAGCAAAAGGCAAATCACACCATGGGTTGAGAAATAGTGAGTGACGTCTTTCTATCTGCAAAATGTTATTTTGTGACATGTTCGTATGTATACACAACCCTGAATGTGTTTTCAATTTCATCTCTGAGGGCTTTCTGTTTGAAAACTGGTGGGTGAACAGATGTTGAGTCTTTGCGATTAGTGGGTCTGTGTGTATGTATGTCTGTTCCACAGATATATCAAGAATTGTCAGATTTCAATGAAACATGAGATAATTTGCAGGCCTGATTAGTTTTTGGTTGAAATATGTGCATATTAATTTGCCAATTTTAAGTCTCTTAACTTTTTTCTGAAGAACTACTTAATGAAACTTGATACATAGATTGTTCGAGATATTACGCAGACCTGATTAGTTTCTGGTTGCAATCTTCGCATATTAATTACTTAATTTGCAATTTTTTTATATTTTACACAAATTTACACAAATCGTAGTCAAGAGTATGACGTTTTATTGTGACTAGCGTGAATGGGTAAGCTTCGTTTCGACTATGAGCTGTAATCACCGTAAAAAATGTTAAATTATTCTTCAAATGTTCAGTTTATCTTTTAAAAACAACTAATTTTTTTATTTAAAAAAAAATCGTGCCGTTTTCCCATCAAAATCCAAGCCAAAAGATCGTACTATAACGTCGGCAAATCTCTTTGTTGCATTCAATAACATTAGCATATTTAAATGAGTTATGGTAATTTGAACACGTCCATCATTTTGATTGGTTAATTAGCGTTTTGACCTATCAGGTCAAAGAACATTGTCCCAGGTCAACTCATGCTAAACAAGGCAGTGATATTTTCGACTTCTTGTTAAAAACCGCAAGTCTGATTGCTTTGATACTATACATATAGGTGCCTCAGGTAGACCTCTCTGCGATTTGTTCATTTTGTGATGATATTTTCAATTATCTAATTTTAATGAATATTTTTGACATTTTTGTTGAAAACAGCAATGTCCGATTGCTTTGATACTATACATATTGTTTATTTTCTAATGATATTTTCAGTTCTTTAATTGAAATGTGCATTGCTAACAGTGGAGCTATCTCAGCCGACAGGCTGCTTGTTTGCATTTCATAATAATTCTACGAATTTATTTTTTGTACTACTGAGTAATAATAATTACCTTCTGCAGTGATTTCTTTTTGCCTTGGGTGGCCCAACTGCATGCCAGCATTGCAAGTCCGCATAGGTGGATTTTTCAATGAAAATAAAAGTCCACAAAAAGTATTTGATGATAATTTTTTTGAAATTTTGAATCCCAAATAAGGGCCCACCAGCGATTTTTTGGATGGGCCAATTTACGGCAGAATTTGGTACTTTTTCTGCCATTGCCCCTCACAGAGTTTGTAACGGTCAATCCCTAATTTGAATCTTTTCTTCTTTTAGTCGGCCTAAGTCAGTTGATGAAGTTGCATTTCAAGATGAAGTTGTAGCAGTCCTAAAGAAATCCATTGAAGGAAGTGATGTGAGTTGTATTTTCTACATGTACCACCCAATCTTAGGAATGAGATGCATCTTTTCAACTACGCTTTTTAAACGAGTTACAGCATTCTGAGAAGCAGTCTGGCTGAATGAAGAAATCAAGAATATTTATTGAATACATAGATTAGAGTTTCAAATCATGTCTGGGATTATTATTTCTGTATTGTTCTTTTACTATTTGTTCTTTCATATTCGACTTTGTAGCTTCCAAATCTTCTGTTTTATGGCCCACCTGGTACTGGCAAGACATCAACAATACTGGCTGTTGCACGTGAGCTTTTCGGGTAAGATTTTTTTTGCTTTTGTTTTTGTTTTAAAAGAGACTGAGGACAAACTTCAGTCATCAGTCAGATTTTCTAAAAATTTAGCGACAGTGAGGTTGATCATATGTCACGTTATTTCAAACTGAAAAGTAGCAATTTTACATAGTATTTGAGAAACATCTTTTATGACGTACACAAAAATGAGACAGGATTAAATTGCAGTATTTGTGTCATTGAATAAAAGATGGTGAGACGGTTTGCTGCTAAGCTTTACAAGCTTCAGAGATTTTCCCTCAGAAATCAGTGTTTTTGGTTCTCAGAGACACGAAAGTGTGGACAAAAATAAATATCATTGTCCAGGGGTTTCACAAATGTATTTAATAGCAGGCCATCATCATGTAACAACAGGCCAAAAAAATAAAAAGGTTCTTGGCAGTGTTAAGCGCAGAGCGTTGAAGGTGGTCGGGGGAGGAGAAAGATGAGAAAGTAGACGACTGATTTGGGCTTGTAGCTGGCCCCTGATTGCTCAATTTTTGTGAGTCTGTTATATCAATTGATGGAAATTTTTTGTAAACTATCTTGTACAAAAATGACCAGTATTCAAGCAACCCTTCAAATATGAAATCCATTTATTAAATATGAGGTTGTGCTGTGTAGCAACAAATGTATCAAATCTCATGTTTAACCTTTCCAACAATTCCCGATTCCTGAATTAACGTCAGACGTGATGTACTTCTATTAGCACATGCATAACCTACCTAGCAACGGGCAAGGGTATGACAAAGATATAAAAAGTCAAAATAGCACCGGTAGACATACCACCGGGAGAAGACAGCAACATGTTTTAAACAGTTTTTTAAAGATAGCGGATTTAGTGTGGGTACAAACGAGGGCAGCTAGAAGAACTAATTAGGACAGATGAGAAATGTGGATTTCCAGTTGAAAAAGATGATTTTTCAGAGAAAATGGGCTAAAATAGAGATGGTACGTGTGTGTTTCACAGAGTAAAATATCACCCTGACATAGTTTTTCTACTTCCAAAATACGTTGCGAGTTGGAAACAGTGATTTTCGGTGCACTGCGACTCGTTCGGAACGTTCAAAATCTGTTCAACCTCCCCAGGTCATGCGATATGCGCAAGTGTACAAACGATGAACTCGCAAACGCTATCAATTTGGGAACCCCCAACCCCTGCAAAATTATAGTTACACATTCTGTAGTTTATATTCTCATCTTCTGTTTCTTTCAAGAAATGAAATGTTCCGGACCAGAGTGTTAGAACTAAATGCCTCTGATGAGAGAGGTATCAATGTTGTCAGAGAAAAAGTCAAACGCTTTGCTCAGCTATCTGCATCTGCAACAAGATCAGAGTATGTACTTATCTGTTTTTCATTTTTTGATATTAATAATTATTTGTGGACCATATCAACTGATAGTAATGATTACCAACTATTAGTCCAAGCCACATTGAGTGATAGGTCAAATGGCTTTTGTATTTTTATATGTACACTGAGAATATTTACCAATTACCATAATGGAAAGAAAAATCATTAAAATTTACATGATGCCAATTATATACTTTGATACTCTGCATAATGAGATTTCTAACTGTCTTCGCTGTAGTAATGGGTGGTGATCACCATGCATGTGGATATGTAAACGTAGCATTACGCTGCACATGGAATCGAACACTGCCCTGTAAGGAAACTACCGTACTTTCCCAAGCATAAGCCCCTCCCTGAGTATAAGCACACATATAGACATTTAATGAGTTGATATTTCTCTTGGGTAATAGTTTTCGAAACACCAAAATGACAACTTGTTTCGCATTTTTCTCCTCAAAAAGCCATAATATTTTTCCCGAGACTGGAGCTGTGAAAGAAAAATGTAATTTGGATAATTTTTCGTGGTTGGGAAGATGGTTCAATTTTAAACCCACCAAAAAATTATCTTTTCTTGTAATTCAACTGTCCACTCAGCCTCTGTTCATCGATAACACAATCTATGATGTCACCAGCTCAAATGATATCAGGTGATATCAGGTAATAATCTCATAATATATTTGCGATGTTTTCTTTTTTCAAGTGGTAAGCCATGTCCGCCATATAAAATTATTATATTAGATGAAGCAGATTCAATGACAGGTGCTGCTCAGGTAAGTGGCCTAATATTAGGTGCCTACTGATTGGGAGTCAATCAGGGGCAACTTGATTGAGTGACGCCTATTCTAGAGATTATACAAACGGGTATAGACAATCCCTCTGTAGACTGGTCTTGAAATGGCCTGAATGTTCTTGTGAACTAGTCTCACCACATATAAATAATAATTTATGCTTTTTGGGCGAAATTGAGCAGATAGTAATATGATGATAGTTGTGCATATCATTAAGTTAGACAGACTACTACTGGACTTCGCTGAACAAGCACCTACACACTGTATAGTGAAGAAGTGTCTGAGTCAGAATCGATTGTTTAACCTTGATGGTTCTAGTGCTATGTCTCTGACATGATTTGACTGATTATGTTCAAGTTTTTAAAATATTCATTATACATCATTCAAAATGGCCAACCAGTGGCCATTTTGTTTTAATTAATGCTGTTACTGAGCAATAGCTCTCAGTATGGACAAGTAATCGTTTGATGATCAGATGCAAGATGACTGAATGTCAATTATTTTAATGTTAAAAATCATAATAATTAGGCATCAGCTTCTGGATCCATATCTCTGACATGTTTATGTTCAAACTACTACCTTAAACAAAACTTTGTATCTTGAATTTGATAACTTACAAGGACTGTACCATGCATGGCTTGTTTAACTAACATATGATTTATTCAACTAGGCTGCCCTGAGAAGAACAATGGAGAAGGAAACAAAAACTACAAGGTTCTGTTTGATTTGTAACTATGTCAGCAGGTTTGTTAATTTAAATTCTTCTCTTCAGTTGCCTCTTGCGTCTTTACATTGATGTAATATGGTGACTTTGTGAACATTTAAATCATTACTGTTCTGCAACCCAATTAGATCTGTGGTGTAAAGGTTCTCACCAAAAACTAGTCAGCAAATTATGACCCTGGAACCACGAAACCATGCAGCTGACTGACTGCAAAACTATAGGGTGTTATTATATAATTGTGTTTAATTCTGCAGGGTCTCAATACTCCTTAAGGCTACTGCTATGGTACCTATGAAATACAAATCATATCTACTTCACAATTTCAAAGCAAATTTCTTAGAAACTTTA